TTTTTTTTTTTTTTTTTTTTACCTTTGAGCTCTTTCCGAAGCCCAGCCAGTTCATTGACCCATCTTAGCACTTCTGGGTTTGCAACCTTATCACTATGGGAGGGCTTAAGATGGAGAGAAACATTAATGTTTTTAAACTGTCAGTTCTCAAAAAATACAGATTACACTGCAGGGGGTTGTTTCTCTCTCTGCCTACCCTGTATTTTCGATCCTCCTCAAACTTCTCCTCGAACCTGTGAATCTTCTTCTTCAGCACGTGAATCCTCTTAGTGAGCTGGGCAGAGGTCAGCTCCTCTCGCTCATCATCGCAGGAGCCCAGAGAAGAGCTTCGCCTGCGACTGGACAAAAAAAAAAAACAGGTCAGCACAGACACTGGCTTTACTTATGAGTTACACACGAATTGAGGAACTTACGGGATAAACGAGTGCGCGTTGGGAGGGGACGGAGGTACTTCTGTGTCGTCCAGGTACTGCTGGCAATGCCCGTAGGCGTAGAAGCGAGGGGACACCAACGGGTCGCTGTCCTCCTCCAGCAGCTGGCGGATCAGACGGCCCCCGGCGTGAGGGGACAGTCGGGCTTCCTCGCGGTCCATGCTCTCCCTCTGCAGCGGGCATGCTAGGATTGGCTCTGAGAGAAAAAAAAACACAGACTTGCATTAAAACATAAAATTAATTGTTCTTTTATATAAAAAAAAATAATATGAGAGATAATGCAGAGATAAACAATTTGATCCGAGGGTCTTGTTTGGAAAAGTTGATGCTGATGCAGATACAGAATCATTTTTCTAATGGTGCCAAGTCAGCATTTACACTCGTTTTCCTGTTTTGAGCTAGTCTTTTAGCTAGTGTTCTGTTTTAGTTTTTTTTTTTCAGCTGCTTCAGCAAATTTTAGCTGTCTTTCAGCACTTAAAATACACACTACATTTTCACAGAAAAAGCAGCTGAGGTATATATATATATATAAATTTGTGTGTGTGTGTGTGTGTGTGTGTGTGTTTGGGGAGGGTTGGGTGTTGGTGTACAATGCAAGTTCCTTTTTGTAAAAGACAAATAGACCTTTGGCAAATTTGGGCCTGAGATTTTAGAGCAGCCTTCAAGGTTGCATCTTTTTCGGCAATGTTTGTGTGTTTTTCAGCTGCTCAGTGTAAAACCACAGGAAACCACATCCAGCAACAATATGAGGGAGCAGGTACTGGACTGTCCTGCCTGCAGTGCTCAACTGTCTCCAAAATAAAAGATGTGCAAGTTTTCAAATTCTGTATTTACATCTGTCATGTTCAGATGTGTTTACAAGAGGAATGAGATTCTACAAAACCTGAGAGTTTTTAATAGTTTCCTCCGTTTCAGAGCTTCTTTTAAATGTTATGAATCTTTTCAAATTAAAAGCTCTGCTGCTCTCATTTTCATGTAACTAGTCCAGAAATGCTGCCACTTCTGTTAGATGACCTAGTCTCCACCTACAACGATGGTCTCACCAACATCCTCGACTCTCTTGCTCCTCTTAAAACCCGTTCTGTCTCCTTCTCCACTTCTGCTCCATGGTTCACCTCAGAACTTCGCTCCGTGAAAACATAAGGTCGCAGACTAGAGCGATTCTACAAGAAATCAGGTCTTACAGTTCACAAAGTGATGTACTTAAACCACACCTTACAGTACAAAGAAAGTATCACTCAGGCCAAATATAACTACTTCACTGACATCATCAGTTCCATTGTAGGCAACACACAGACTCTTTTCTCTCTCCTTAACTGCACAGTTTCATCTCCGAACTCTCTACCCCCTCACATGCTTTCTACTGATTTCTGTAACTCCCTCATTTCATTCTTCTCTGAAAAAATCAGCTCCATACACCAACACCTTGGACCAAACTCTGCCCCCAACATCTTTATAGAACTCCCACCCTCCTCCATCCCCCTCTCTGTCTTCGCTCTCCCCTCTGCTGCTGACATCTCTGCCATCATTAGGATGTCCAAATCCTCCTCCACACAGCTAGATCTCATTCCCACAGCTTTGGTTAAATCCTGTCTCCTCTCTCTGCTTCCTATCATCATTAACATCATCCACTCCTCTCTGACGACTGGTACTGTTCCCACAGCTTTTAAATCAGCTGCCATCACCCCCATCATAAAGAAAACAGGTCTACAGTAGATCCGACTAACTTCAATAACCTCCGTCCCATTTCTAATCTGCCTTTCATCTCCAAAATCCTTGAAAAGGTCGTCGCTAATCAGTTTCTCTTACACCTCTCTAACAATAACCTCTATGAACAGTTCCAATCAGGTTTTTGACCACATCACAGCACCGAAACTGCTCTTATTAAAATTACTAATGATCTTCTCCTTGCTGCTGACTCAGGACTTCTGTCAATACTCATCCTCATTGATCTGAGCTCTGCCTTTGACATCATCTCTCATCCTATCCTCATCGACTGACTAACCTCTATCGGCATCTCAGAGACCCCTCTGGACTGGTTTAAATCCTATCTTTCTGACCGCACTCAGTTCATACAGCTCAAGTCCTTCCATTCCCAGTCTTCACCATTTCCACTGGTGTTCCCCAAGGTTCTGTACTCGGGCCTCTACTTTTCATAAGCTATCTGCTCCCGCTTGGCCACATCTTCCGTAAATTTGGTGTTCATTTCCACTCTTATGCCGCTGACACTCAGCTCTACATTTCGACAAAACCGAACTCCACCTTATCATCCTCAACTCTTACCGACTGCCTCAGTGAGCTGAACAACTGGTTCTCTATCAATTTCCTCCAACTAAACCATGACAAAACTGAACTCCTCCTTGTAGGGACAAAAAAACTCCATTTCAAAATCCCAGCATCTTCAATTCACTCTTTACAACAACGTTCTTTCCCCCTCGCCTCAGGTCAAGAACCTAGGTGTCATCCTTGACACCACACTCTCTTTCACATCCCACATTAACAATGTGACTCGATCTGCCTATTTTCATCTCCGCAACATTAACCATCTCTGTCCTTCACTCACTCCCTGCTCCACTGCCATTCTTGTACACAGTAACATCCAGGATCAACTACTGCAACTCCCTACTGTTTGGCCTCCCCAATAAATCCCTTCACAAACTACAGGTGGTTCAGAGCTCAGCTGCCCGTGTACTCACTCAAACCTCATCCTCTGCCCACATCACTCCAGTCCTACAACAGCTCCACTGGCTCCCAGTTAAAYCCCACATCACTCCAGTCCTACAACAGCTCCACTGGCTCCCAGTTAAATCCTGCATCATCTTTAAAATTCTCCTACACACCTTCAAAGCTATCCACATTCTTTCCCCTTCTTACCTGTCTGACCTCCTGAACATCTCCACACCCTCCTGCTCTCTAAGATCTGCCTCCTCCCTCCAACTCTCAGTACCCCCTGCCCGCCTCAGCACCATGGGGAGCAGAGCTTTCAGCTGCTCTGCTCCGCAGCTCTGGAACTCACTACCCCACGGATTATGTAATACTGTACCACCTCTCTCTCCCTGTTTAAGACTGGCCTGGAGACACATCTTTTCAAATTAGCCTACAACTGTTAACTCCGATCTTCCATATATGTCTGTTTTTGTTGTCCTCACTTTGATGTTTCTCCCCCACAACCCTGTTGTTCAATTTGTCTGCATTATTGTATTTTATTATATGACTGTTCTGTACTCCACATTTCTTTTTCTCCCACACTACCCTTATCATTATATGTATCTATAGTTTTGTTTTGTTTTTTCCTTCATTTTATTTTTTTTCTATTGTACAGCGTCCTTGGGTGTCCTGAAAGGCGCTTTATAAATAAAATGCATTATTATTATTATTGATATCAGCCCTTTTCTGCCATCCTTCAGGATATTTTACTAAAGCTGTAAAGAAAGTGGAAAAAAAGGCAGAATCATTTATAATATAGGGTAGATTTTTTTTTCATATTTAATTGAGAGAAAAAAAACTGAAGGTTTAGACCAATATAATCTGATCGTGTCAGAAGGCGCAGATTCTATCATCACTTCCTTTGTTGTCTTTAAAAGAAATGTGTGTCAGAGAAACCAGACCACCTGGTTTTTCTCTGGGAGGTGAACTGCTCATGAACTCTGCTCTCTGACCCGTAGCTGCTGGTCATGCTGTTGTATCTGTCAGAGGTTACAACACTCTGTTGTTTTCCACCAGAGTAGACAGAGAGCAGCTCCACAAACATTCTGCCATCAGTTTGTCTCTCTGCTCAGCCTGATGTGAAAGTTAGAGCCATATTTAATGCATCTGACTTGCAAATCAGGTAAGTAAAGATAGGAAAGTTTTTTTGTGTGTTGCTTTAATTATTATTTTGTGTCATTTCCATTTACAAGTCAGAAACGCACACTGAAAACAGGACAGAATTAATACAGAAAATAGATCAACAGTCTTTGAATTCCTGTCAGTGGCAAGAACAGAAGTCATACAGCAAAAAACAGTGTTGGCAGACTTTGCAAACCTTCACTTTTTAAAATACAGTATTATCAAAATCAAACCAGCAGCATCTTTTCTCACAACGGCTTAGTGGTTAGCACCAATGCCTCACAGCAAGAAGGTCCTGCGTTCGATCTGGACCTGGTGTTGTTCTCCTCTGGGTGGGTTTTCTCTGGGTACTTTGGTTTCCCCGACACCCCAAAAATATGTAAAATATGTTGCCTTCAGGCCCAGGCCTAACTTACAAAAGGGCTGTGATCTCAGTGGGATTTGCCTCATTAAATAACGGTAAAACATTTTCAAAAAAATCTATAAAACTCCATATTTTGCTAAAAAAAACTTAGAATTTCGATTTTATTCAAAGAGTAAAAACACTGTTTTGACTCTTCACAACAATTATTTCACACATGAATCCTCTAACCAAAGGACAGTTGTTTTTAATATTTGTTCTGGCCTTGGCTTTATTTTTAAACAAATCTTTATTTCATAATTTATAGTTTGTATCTTTAATTCCAAACCACTTCTGAATACAATTTAGGAATTTAGTATAAGCTTTGTACATTACCAGTGTTCTAAGCTCTGCCTAATCATAAACACACCAAAATCACCATGTTGTATCTGTGGGAAATTCTGGCAGTGTTTTGCTAATTTTATTCTATCAAACGTCATAAAACACTATTCCTGATCAAGCTGCATGTTTATCTCCTGCCACTGAATGTTAAAGGGTGATATGTCTGTGCCTGTTTGCATGTTTGTGCTCATTTTTTGTTGATTTGAGAATTTTTTTATGATCATCTAGACAGATGTTATTAAAACTAAGTATGTAATTCAGAAGTAAACCTAAAGCTGTGACAGAAATGGAAGAATGACAGCTTTAAGGTGCATTGCTACAATAACTAACAACAGACTTATTTTGAGTCACTATCAGAGAAATGAAGAGTCAGAGCTCAAATAACGTTTCAATAAACAGACAAGAGAGTTATTTCTTAGAGTTGACATTACTTCCTGTTTCACTGTAGCTGAGCCAAGTTCAAAAGAAAATATGCTGCTTATGTGACAAAATGGATAAAATTATGTGTATTATGCCAAGTTTCTTAAATATAAAGGTGTTTTCTTTGACTTTTTGTATTTGAAGGATATATACTTTAAAAGCACATGTAAAAACTAAGTTTCTTCCTGTAACAATAAATACCTTGTATAGTTTAAGAAATATAACTCAGATGGATTGGGACTCTTGTCCTTCCAGGTGTGATAGGTGCTGACGTGCGAGACTTTAACTTGCCCTGCGAGCAGCAGCCAATAACGTCGCGCCTGGCGATGATCTGTGGGACGTCCTCTTGTCACATGGCGGTGAGTGGTCTCACTGCTACACCCACTCCTGAAATCAGTGACAGTATTTCCTGTTGTTCCACGTCACTCCATGACTACTGCATGACTTACTGAGGTTAAACCTGTTGTCACTTTTTAATTTTATCTGAGTCTTTAGATTTTAAGTTTACATGTTGTCACACTTTACACAAAGCATTTTTTGTTGATTTTAAACCCATGAATAGATAGATTAGATAAGTAGTTTTTAATAAATATATTTGTGTGGTACAGATCAGCAAGGAGCCCCTGTTTGTGCCGGGGGTGTGGGGTCCCTACCTGTCTGCCATGGTGCCAAGCCTGTGGCTGAATGAGGGTGGACAGAGCGCCACAGGAAGGCTGGTCAGAACACACCCTGCATTCTTAAAGAATTATGTGTGTCTGTTTCATTCTGTACACTAACACAAAAATATTTTTCATCTTGAAAATAGGAGCTGCTTTAGATAAAATAAAAGCTTTAAATCTTCCAAAACTCTTTTTAAGTTCTGTGTTGTAAGGCAGTGGTTCTGATACTGATTATTAAATGTAAATTATTTATTTAACCCCTAGAACATTTAATTCTCAGGCATTTTATTTTTTTCAACTCAAATTAAACATAAAGATAAAAATGTTGCCTTTAAAGTGAATAAGTAAATAAATAAACAAAGCAGGTAAAGGCAGTTGCAGAAAACAGCAGTATCCAAAATACATTGTATTGTCCAAAATACATCAGAAACTCACCCAAAGGGGTAAATTCCATGAGATTCCATGTTTTATATTGGATTCCATTTTGTGTTAATTCCGTGATTCCGACTTCAATTTCCACATTTTATTACACATCTGGGAAATTTTTCCACCTACCCTTTATAATATGCTTGCATATCCCTGTTTGGGAATGACTGCTTTAGACAGTGTGAAGGCCTGAAGGAACTGTCCAAGGTCCTGAAAGTGCTGGGATGTTTCAGGACCTTGGACAGTGTAAAGGACTGAAGGAACTGTCCAAGTCCTGAAAGTGCTGGTATGTTTCAGGATCTTGGACAGTGTAAAGACTGAGGGAACTGTCCAAGGTCCTGAAAGTACTGGAATGTTTTAGGACCCTGAGAGCAAAACAGAAATACAGTAGCTAACAAGTATAAAGAGCTCAGTGTTTCCCCTAGGAAATTGGTCTGGGGGGGGGG